CACCACATTACAATATTCAAAAGCAGCATCATTAACACTAATGGTAGTTCTTGAAGGAAAGTGAATCTCTAGACTCTTTCTTTTTTTACATGCCTTGTTCATATAGCCATACAACAGAAATGGAAAAATACAAACCATCAACCATGATTAAGTTTTTTAGAAGAGAAAAAATGAAACAGATTTGTAGAATTAATATGTGTAAGATTTCATTTAGAACTTGAGCACTAGGGAAACCTTACTGGTTTCTAAAGATATCCAACATATAAAATTCAACCAAATAAATGGGAAGAAATAACTTTATAAAGACTAACCTGGCAAGGCGGGTGTAGAACAATTTCTTCGATAGCTCGTCACACTTTTCCAGAGTAGGGGGTTCCACAATGTAATGCTTGTTCTTCTCCAGTGTCTGTTTGTAGATGGAACACGTATTCTTGGTGACGTACTTTGTAAGTTGGCATGCCTTAGATGATAACTGCTGAAGCTTTGATGCCATCCCTTCTGCTGAAAATGTCCTTGAATGGAAACACATACATTAAGAAGATGTCAAATTTCACACCAAAAAAAAAAATTAAATAAAGCCAAAATGACTTTCACAATTACTCCGTAACTACTAATAAGCCCATATCCATATGACCATATATCTTCAACCAACTAAGCACAATATCCATTAATACAGATCACAATACATCTATTTCCTTCTATGCTTAATGGCTAGATTTTAGATCAAGCATATTAACTCACTAGATTAAAGGCCAAACCAGCTGGCAATGAAATGAGAATAAAATTGTACAGAATGTTTTTTTCCTCATGAAATTGCTGAAATTAATAAATTTACATTTTTTTTAAATAATTCAGCACTTCAACAACACAAGTTCAACAACTAAATCCATCACAAGACTCATCCTTCCCAATCAGGTTTTACGATTAACTCACACAAAATGCCACGAATGACTTGCAGCATCAAATTCACATGGAGTACATCAAACAGAGCACAAACAATCAAATAGTAACGAACTAGTAAACAGAGTATTCCTGGCATTTGTTTGTTTGTTTTTTTCGAATGCTTGCAGATAAAGATTTAGCGAGATCTCAAAATACACTGCGAACAGCGGCATTAACAAACAAGGGAATAACAAAGAAATACAACGAACTATAAATTAAAAAAAAAAAACTAGAAATCACTGAATTGAAACGGATCTTAGAGGAGCGGAAACGGATCTTCGCTGTTACCTGCGTTTTGGTCAGAAGACGCAGACGAGTGATGCGAATGATGAGACTGTGTTCTTCGTTTACTAATTACGATACGAAACGGGTTTTGCTAAGTCTCAAGCAAAACTAAAATGGGCCTGAAACCTATTAGTCCAGTTCCATATATATGCAGTAAATTTTTTTGGTTACATTTAAGAGGTGTTTGTAAATTGCAAGTGCCTTTGAGTGCTGAAAAAGTAAAAGTGTTAAATCAAAAGTAAAAACTATTTTTACAGCATCATATATATCCTTTATCCTTTATATATAAAAAGTAGACTCCATTCTTTAAGAACTTGACATTTGACATATTAAAAGCTTGACATGTGGCACATTAGGAACTTGACATGTGGCATATTGGGTGGTAATTTAACCAAATTTACTCTATTTCATTATTTCACATTTTTTACTCTTTTTCAAAAATGATATGGAGTAATTACTTATTTTGAACCCATGAATTCAAAATTAGAATTAAAATTATTTTACGTGTAAATTATTACTTTTAATAAAATATCATTTTTAAGGACTCTACGTACATATATTTTTAATACATGTCTCGAATTCATTAAATGATAAAATTTACAAAACATTTTTAGAATAATAAATAAAATACACTCCTCACCCATTAATATATTTTATATTTATTNTTGACATGTGGCATATTGGGTGGTAATTTAACCAAATTTACTCTATTTCATTATTTCACATTTTTTACTCTTTTTCAAAAATGATATGGAGTAATTACTTATTTTGAACCCATGAATTCAAAATTAGAATTAAAATTATTTTACGTGTAAATTATTACTTTTAATAAAATATCATTTTTAAGGACTCTACGTACATATATTTTTAATACATGTCTCGAATTCATTAAATGATAAAATTTACAAAACATTTTTAGAATAATAAATAAAATACACTCCTCACCCATTAATATATTTTATATTTATTCATTATACATTTACATGATATTCCTTTGATTGTATTTATTCAAATATTGACACCTATTAAATAAAATGTTTCCTTTACCTATAAAATAATTTTATGTTTTTATGACACTTAATTTGTCACTTAATTTAAGGTATAAAAAATTTGAATTCAATAGTTTGGAATAAAATATTTGAATCGATTTAATTGTGAAAGAGAAACATTCATTTTTAGGAAAATACTCTTTACAACAGAATACAATATTTTTTACTCGCTTCATTTATAAAAAAAAATTGATTAATAAATAAGATGATTTTTTCACATTTAAATAATTTTCATACAAGTATTAGTTTATAATATTTAAAATGAAATTAGTTTTGATTCTATTTATTTTAATAATAATGTAAAATTAAAAATAAATAATACATTTCAATAACTAGATTAAAAAATTAAAAATCAATACATGACTGGACTAAAATTGAATTTTTTTTTAAATAATAAACAAACATTATATTCTCTTCATAAATAAATAATATACAAAGTATTATGAATTTGTTTATGATACCTTTAAATGAAGTTAGTTTGACTATATTTATTTAAATATTGACACCTATTAAATAAATACTTTCCAAACATTCTCTTCATAAATAAATAATAAACAAAGTATTATGAATTTGTTTATGATACCTTTAAATGAAGTTAGTTTGATTATCTTTATTTAAAATATTGAAACCTACTAATAAATACTTTCTTCGCCTATTATGAAATTTCTTACTTTTTAACACATAATATAACACCTAAATTGAAAATAGAAAACGTAAAATCAACATTTTTGGTAAAATGTGATCCTAAGGTCCACATGTGAATTGTGAACCTTCTTACACTTTTCATGGTTTAGCAAGTAAATATTTTAAAAAAAAGATCCAATTCTTTTATGATATTATTATACCAAGGTCTATAAAATGAGCATGGACCGTAGGACTGTGGGAAAATTTGCCATATAAAAAAACTTTCAATCCCCCCCACCAAAAAAACTTTCCATTAATCAATAAGATACATTTTTTACCTCTAAATCAATGTCATGCGGGTATTTGTTTATGATATGTTACAACTAAGTTAGTTTTGATTCCATTTATTACAATATTGATGTAAAATTAAAACATATAAAATATTTTAAAAATAACACTAAATTATTTATAAAACAAGCGAAGACTGGACTATAATTGTGTTAAAATAAAAAAAATATTATATATAATTTCAAAGTTCAAATATATTGATTGTTATGTTTTGATTTTAGTACTAGACAATTTAAATTCAAATATATATTATTTCTCATGATATATTATGATATGATATTCTTAATTAAGTCATATAATACAATTTTTCAAAATTAAATTCAAAGACGGAAAGCTATGTGAGATGATTGGTGGAGTTATTAATATTGAGAACCCCCAATTTTTTTATTTTTGAAAAAGGTTATCCTATCAAGAGTATAATATGTTGAGTTCACTTATCCAAACATATGAGAGAATATGAACAATTATTCTTTTTTAAGGACTAGACACTATTAGCCCAACTATCGGAGTAGTTGAAATGATAAAAAAATTTGTCATATCTCTCATTCCCGATGATGAAAAGGAGTACTTGAATTTTGATTCTTCATGCGAAGGAAATGGAGATGTAGGTGTTGATGGCGATTGAATAACAATTGAGTTTTAAATGAAATCAAATAGTGAAATTTGCACTAAATAGGACTAAAACATAATGACTTTCCGAATCTAGGACTTAAACTTTTTTATTTCCTAAATAGGACTTAATAATGTCTTCGTGGAGGGAATAATGCCCAGCAATGATAGACATTACTTGAATAATGACTAAAGAATAATGACCAAAGGTCCTACATTTGGAAATAAAAACATATGGTCCTATTTTGGGAAAGTCATTATGTTTTAGTCCTATTTAGGTAAATTACTCAATCAAATATTCGAGAATCTCAAGCCATAAAATAGTTTTGAAAAAAAGGGCTACCAATTAATTATATATGCTATTGAGAAACATTGACCAAATATTTGAATTGCATGATGAGACAAGACTAATCGTTGAAGAGCTACGAAATAATGTTATCGGTGCAATTGTGGTTTTGAAAAAACGAGTCGAGAAAAATGTTTACATACCTAAAATGAATTTCGTACCATCTGATCCACAATTACTCCTAAAGTTCTAGAAAAGACAATTCCCAATCTTTTATGTTTTGCTATGACTTTTAACAAAATCAAAATCAAACATTATCATTTGTTGGATTATTTTTAATCTATTCGGTGTTCACTTATGATCAACTTTGTGGTGATGTTTCACGAGTAAAAAGAAAGACAAAAATAAAAATATTAGTTCTAGATGATAAAAAAATCCTTGCAACTACACCAAAATTGTTGTATACCCAAAAGTCTTTCAAAAATATAGATTTAGAAAATCTTTGAGATGTTCACTTTTGAATTTGTTTTTAAGAATTTTCATTACCAAATATTTAATACTAAATTATTTATTTTATTTTGTTTTTAATGTCTTAGTAATAAAAAACATATTATATTTTTTTATAAATTCTATTTAAAATATTGCATTGAAATTAATTTACAGAAGTGTCAAAAATTTCTTCCAATCCCGTGCGTTGCACGGGTAGGAATACTAGTATATATATAAAGTTGGGTTTATCAGCTGTGGGGATGCCACGTGGATGCTGACCTGGCGCGCTACTCTGGCATGATTAAACACCCTAAAATTCTTCAGCACTTCGTTTACCACTTGCGCTCCTTCATTTTTCGCCAAAGTGAAAAGCCTCTTCTGTTTATTGTCCCTCCAGGTCCATTCTGCTTCCAGCCACCTGCGACCATCATCCGCATCTCGCGAGCCGGCAACACCTAATTCGCCGCCGTTCGCCCGTCATCTTGCACTGAACGCGATTAGCGTGCGTTTGCTCGACTTCATCTCTCTGCAAATCCACCGCTGCCCTAAGATATTATCTTCCTCTTTCAATAGTTTCAAGTTATGGCTGTGATTTTGAGACCTATTTTTGCCTAATGGTATGAATTGCAAAATACATTCCATTCAAGAATCAAAATTATCTCCTATCTTTGGGTAATTGCCTGAATTGTGTAGCCCCTATTTTGTCGAATTAAAGCTAAATTTATTCGGCCAAGTTCGCACAGAATCAAATTGTTAGGGTACCAACTGGGCATTTCAAAATCATTGAAGACTAAATGTTATGTCCTGCTAAAGGTATGAGTTTTGCTTATTTTATCTCGAATTTTATCTCAAAGTCAATAGTGACTCCGAGGAATGAAACGGTCAATTGTTGCATTCTCTTTTGTAAAGCTCTTCTATTTCTCTTTTCTGTGACATGTGATATTTTAAAAACTGGTTCATTTCCAAAATATATAGTTGTTTCTCTCTACTTCACTCAACGATATTTAACATTATTTGTGTTCTTTGACAATTCTTCAATATCCATGTTCGTAAAAATGAATGTATTGGTGGGTTTAGCTTCTTTTATATCCCTCAGTTTAAAAAAATACTCCGTCCTATAATGATTTTCTCACATTGACTTAAACGTATTTTTAAGTGATTGATTTTTTTACTTTGAGTTCCAATTTTGCCCCTCCTTCCCACAAGCTCAATCCCAAGATATAGAGTAATTTAAAAGACTATCCATTTTTTTCCGAGTTTGATTGGAATAGTGACCGCGGCTCTGCTTGCTCGGCGGTGATCTATTCCCCGAGACAGCAATGTTCTATTTTCTTGGCTTGGCGGTGGCCAATTTTAGAGAGATCTATTTCCCTTGGCTAGGCGGCAGCCATTGTTACATATAAATTTGACAAATAAAAATTTTGTTGTTATAGATTGTCGCAACCCCAATGTCTCCAGTAAAAACATATTCACATTTCACTCACCAGGCTGTTCTCAAACATAGTTTAGTGGAACTTTTGCCAGATGACATTCATATTGGGTGCAATGGAAGAGTTCACAGTAAGTCTTTACTTTTTTCCCCTTCCTTGATTGCTTGCTTCTATGCATTTGACTTGTCTGTCTTAGCAAGTGATGATACCCTTGCTTCATGGTAGTTGCATTCACGGAGAAACTTTGGTGGAGGCCAAGGGGTTTGCTGGTTGATCAGTTTGATTCTAAAGAGGATCTTATAAATGCTGTAATGACATCTTCTCTTATTCCCGGGTACATTGTTGGTTCCCCTTGTCACTACCTCAGCTATTGTGTTTCTATATTTCGTGAGTGACTTCTTAACTATAAAAAAGTCATTTAGTGCAGATATCTTGCTCCAAGACCTGCCACAATGTTCCGAAATCGACTTTGCTTCGATGGGGGTTTGACATTATTCATGCCACCAACTTTTGCCTCTTAAACAGTATATTCTACTTTCTTCCCATCTTGGATTATCTATTTTCTTCCCTCTATAATTTGCAATATCATAAGTAGGTAACAAAAAATCTAAGCTTGTCAAGTGAAAGTAAAACTTGCCTGAAATGACTGAATTGACTTAATGGACTGAATTTGCTTAAAATACAGTTAAAAATTTGAATTGGTAGAATTTGCTAGACAATCCTTCAAATATACAATTTAAAACATTTCCTGATACATGAAAGTAAAATAATACTCCCACCATTCTTTATTAAGTGTGTGTTTCACTTTCTATGGCACCTATGGTTAATTAAGTTATAGTGTATAGTAGAAATTCTGGCTGGTAATGCTTGAAAGAACTGTAATACCAAATATGCAATTTGTATCATATTTCTTCTTCATTTCTTTTGTTATTAAGGTCTGGAAAAGTTTCTGAAGCAATAAAGAACTCTTTTAAAGCTTTAAATATAAACGAAACTCATGTCCAATAAAAAACTATATTAAAAGGTAAGAAAATAAAATACAAAACAATGGTAATCATTTTCTAATTAAACCGAAGCAAAAGTTATAAGAGAACCGATAAATAAATGTACTTTTGTTTGTCTTATAATAGCTGGAAGTCTTAAACCATCTCTGTCTTTCTTGCCCCCAAAGAGTGAAAAGAATGAAGAAAAATAAACTGTGATCTACTGCAGCAAAACTTACAGGTAAACCTATAGAGAAAAGTATGCTATATATAAAACCTAAGAGAAATTCTAAGATAATTAAGAATTCTATGGAGTATTTAAACAAATTTACTGAATAGATGAAAATTTTTGAATCTCCCATGTTGAGGAGACGAAGAGATGGAGGCTCCCAAAATCCTCTACACGCACAAAAATGAAAGTGACCATATATTGAGAATGAAAGGGAAAAAATAGCTTCCCTGACCAAAAATATAGTAATGGGTGAAGTCCTGGTTCAAGCATACATAATCTGTTGTAAAAAGGTAAAACATTTTCCATTTTTTGAAAAAAGAAGATAATAATAACGATGATGATGATGATTATGATGGCAAATGTAGATATACTGGTATGGGATTCCTAGAAGCAATACATGAAGGTTGATTTTCAGGCAAATCCCATAGTTTTACCTGCATTTGGTTGGTCTCCGCCAGTCTTAAAAGAGACAGTTTGAGATGATGAGAATTTCAAAAGAAAATGAGAGAGATGAATGGCGTTTTATCTAGAGAACCTGTCGCAAGAAGCTACCAAGATTGACATAAATAAATTAGTTCATTAGGGAAGATGACGGATGCACTATGACGAAGGAATGGAAAAAAGACAAGTAGACATCTAAAAAAGGGAAGCTATATATATACTAAAGAATGTCTCTTATTCTTTAGTATAAAACCATAATAATTTGATAATACTTCATATAAGGTCAAGAATTACATACACTTTCTTCGTAGCAAGCAAAGGTAGCACGTAGCATTTTGTATTTTATGCTTCAGAAGTCCTTTGATTCAGATGATTTCTTGGTTAATTTAAGCATATGGATTCTGTTTTTTCTTTTGCTTGGTAAAATTTGTTTTTTTGCTTTAGATGATTCACAGTTCTTGCTTGGTTAATTTAAGCATAAGAATTTTGTTTTGAGAAGAAAGATATAACCTTCTTTATATCACGTAAATAAAACATCATTCATATTCTTTTTCCTCTTCTCTATTTTCAATTTCTTAAATTTATATTTTTAACTTTCTTTAGTAATTGTGTTATAGATTTCATTCTTTTTCATTGTTTAAGAAAAGAAACATTGTAGTGTTCATTAATTTTGGACGGTGTATAAATAATTATTGGGTAATAAATTATTAATTTTGTTGATATGCGTAATGGCATTGACACTTAACGTTTATTATAGAATTCCATAATCATGATCGATCCAGAGACAAGATCTACACACTATTTTCCAGAACAAAAAACAGATTTTGAGTATTATTGACTCCAAGTTTGAAGATGTATGTAGATGAGCCGTAATAGTGATATGGCTTTAAAGGTATTTCTATGTGCATTTTTTAAGTTTTTCCAATTTTGCTGTGTTATGAGGGTTGAAAAACACTAACAAGGTGCAACTTTCTTTTGTTGTGCGTTGACATATGATATAGACAATAATGATGGATGGTTCTACAACACACATGGGCACTGCAAGAGGTTAATTAAGGCAAGCGAGGGAAAATTCTGGTGTAATAAATGTAAGATGATCAGCGGTGCAGTACTGAGGTAAGTTTCATCGTAAGTAGTGAGGGCGTGTTGTTTTATTTTGAGTAATACTGCAATTTTCTGTGAGTAGTGTATTTGTGGCTAAATGTGTAACTGCGTTATTCGAATCTTTTGCATTGTATTAATATTGAAGTGTTTATGTGTGATGCTTTCATGTTGTTTTGAGATGATTGGGCTGTTGGGGGGTTTTTATCATTGTTTAATGAGGGGTGTCATCCCCTTTATTGGGTATTTGGGATGTTTTGTAGTTTTTAGTATTCTGTTTGAATATGCAATTACTTTTTAAAGACCTGATTGTGTACTAAACAAAATTAACAAATGCTATGAATTAAGCAAAGAATTGAAGAACACAGATTGCCTCTAGCTGAGTTTCAAAAATACTTTTCCACCCTGATATCCAGCAGTTTGAACTGGAAGGTGTCCTTGAATCTATTGAGAATACTATAGCTGCTTCCAATCCACACCATATTATATGACAACCCGCCAAGGAACATTCCCCTAAGGCGGAAGGAACCATAGTCAACTAAATCGTGGTACGTTCCGATATGGGTACGTGGTTCGGGTACAAAATTCGCTAGAGGTGACGAATTCGGTACGAAGGGGGTAGGTTCATTTCGGTACGTCTACATTTGGGGGACATAGTTTAATTGCTTATAATTTGCCACATGAAGCTTACAAATAATGTGTATTTGTTTTGGTAGATGTTGTTTTGTTATATTATTAATTGTGATTTATCACTTATATTTCTAAATTTTGGTGGCAATTTCTTCACCCTTTCATTCCGTTCAATGAGATTATTCATTTATATGGTTTATGAAACATTTTTTAATGTGAAAATATCATCAAAATNTGTTTTCTTTATAATATCATGCAATCATTTTTTCCCAAGAATATTTTATTTGTGTTTTGTTACCACCATTTTTATTTTCTTTTTTGGAATGAGAAGAAATGGGGAGCAAACATCACATGATAAGACCATTTCTAGGAAGTTATATTCATATATAAATTTCAAAAGGGGGAACATAATTATCAAAATAGAAAAGAGGACAAACTGTTATCTTTTTTAATATGTTTTTTTTTTCAATATTTGCCCAATAGTATATACCCTGCAGCAGTCAAAAATCACATAGTAACAGTAATAGTCACATAGTCTCTCTATTTAAAAAAGAGTTTTATTAATAAGTGTACACTATAACACTCATAGTCTTTGCCTTCATATGTCTACTGTTATGAGTCTCAGTGTGTTAACTGTGTTTGCCTTGGTGTAGGCCTTTCCATATGGGCTCTCATTTTCCAGGAAAAGAAGACAACCTCAGCATTGACCCAACACCGTCTTCTATGAAACAACTCACGATCATTATCCCTCCTTTTTAGTTTTGTTGAAATCTATTTTGCACAGGCTGAAGCTGGTTTGCCTTTGTTTTGCTCACTATTAGGATTATAGAATTCATAATAATAATCCTGACTAGAATATTGAATACATCTTCAATAATAAGATTGTCTATTCAAACACACACTCACACACATTATTAAGGACTATAAAACAGAGTTTTATTATGAACTATAAAAAAAGAGTTTTTAAAAATAAAGTTTTATTAAGAAGCTTTGTTTTGGAAAGTGATGTGGTGGTAAGGCTTTTTATAATTCCAAACTCATTACTTTGCAGTGATATTGTTAGAATTGACTACACAACAAATAAATAACGTAACAAATGCAATACTAAGCTAAATTTGAAATGAAAATTAGCAAAATTATTTAGGTTTGCTTGGCTATTGGATGACAGTTTTTCCTTTATTCATTATTTTGGATTGAGATAATTGGCGCTGGCGTGTTGTAGTCATTGGAACATGAGGGCTGGAGTTTGGTTATAATGCTGGATTTTTATTCTTTTCTTTTTTCCTCTTTTAGTTCAAAAGGACTTCCGTTCAATCTCTCTTGCTATTTCTTTTCCCTTCATATAGACTTTTACATAGATCCTACACTCTTCTACCTTTTTTTAATAAAATTGTTTTTAAAAAAATTAAACTACAATACTACTGAATATCTTAAATCTGGAGTTTTTTAAAAACATGAGAACTAACATACTTATAAAAATGATTATTTCTACTCGAACAACACATTACGCCTTTGAGTATTCATCTATTTTGTCCATCAAATATTCAAATGTACATTTCAAAAAATGAAAACAACGCTCAGCATAAATCACAAGCCCGTGCGAAGCACGGGGTAGAAAACTAGTAATTTACAATTTTGAAATCGCATATCATAATCTAAAGTTGATTAGAAAGGACTTAAAAATGTGTTTCAATGAAGTAAAAGCTCAAAAGCTATTTTTTCACACACTCTCAAATATTCTCTTAAAAAAATTAATTTTAATTGAAGTTACCTTCAACTTTTTTTGCGACTAATTTATATTCTTAAATCACATATCCAATCAAAATGTGCACAAGACACAACAAATTAAGACAAAAAAATGAATTTTTTTAATCTATTTTTCATTTTTTCAATGATAAATTCATTCGAAATTGCAAAAACATAAAATCAAAAGGTCCAAAACAACAATCTAATGTTAAAGGGACTCGATAGTTTGCCTTCTAGGAAAGAATGGCATACAAAGTCATTGGTTGTCTCGCTTGAAAATGACATACAAACTCCATAGTCAGCATCTTGTGACCATCCCCCAACAACCAACTATTAGACGTATATTAGTATAAATATGATTTCACTAAAATTTTCTTGCAAAAATATTTTAAAATTTTGTTTTGTTATATTGATAAGTAAAACAAATTTAGTGTAGTAAATTATTGAAATTTGTGTATTGGATCAAAAAGTCAAATTGATGGTGCCTGGACGAATGAAACATTAAGATACTAAATCTGAACCATGTTTAAACTTTACCTTCACTTAACTTGTAAAGGAATCTTATGTTGTAATAAACATTATCAAATTGCATGTTTGTTTTACATACACCAAATAGGTCTTAAAACTAAGACTAATTTCATACAAGGTCATGTAAGACTGTGTATTATAGTGACTTAACATGGCTTGAAGAAATATAAATAAATATGACGTG